CCAAAATCACACTGTCCTGTGTATTTTCGGTGAAGATCTGAGTAGTGAAAGGAATATCTTTGATGTCAGAACGGTAGGAATTTGTCCTTGCCAATGTGAATGGATCATCTGCTACATCACCTCTTAGCGGACATGTCCACGGACAGCTACAATCAAACTTGGGCTATGAGGAGATTATGTGAGTTGCCATATAAAGCTATCTGCTGTTTTCTCTGCTGGGGTGAGTTTCCAAAAAGCAAGTTGTTTTGTGGGGTCAGTCAGTGTTGATTCCAAAAGCCTTTCTAGCATGTTAATAAACATGTTAATAAGCAAACTTTCAGCTGGAGTCAGTATGAGGCTGTATTATTATGACTTTTATTGTTTGTCATCTATTTGGAGATCCGTTTGATTATATTTCAAGTTTTGTTTCTCATTAAAGAAATAGTTAGATTTATTAAATGAGAACAGGACAGACTTTACTAGTTTTTAACTATAGTCTTTTCTAATCTCAGCTGTAGCCATAAGTCTGGATTGACAGGAGAAAGAGAATTTTCAACTTGTAAAATAATGTTGTTATTCATCAGGACAGAACACTGAGAAATGGAAGTATTCCTTTTATTATCTTGTAGGCATGAATCCAGTCAAACAAATTATTCTTAGCTACCTCAGATGACATTAAAGTGAATGGACTTATATAGGGGATGAACTTGTCTACCACTTCTGCTATTTACAAGCTAACTTTAAAAAGGATATGTATTAACTAGCACCAGGTATACAGAGTGCCTGAGGCAGTATAGGAGGCTGCACTGGTATAAATTTTTTCCTGGTGCTTGCACATACTCATTGGAACACAGCACCTCATGGAAAAACATACCAGAAGAAAAGGAAGAATACTGGCAGATGGAGGTGAACAGATTGTTATTTCATCCCAAGAAGAGGAATAGTGTATGAAGTAATGTGGCTGTAGAAAAATGCAGCGGTTAAGATGAATAAACGTACCTCGTAGACTCCTGTCATCAGCCACATCATTAACTTTATAAAAAGACATTTCTTCCAGCAGTGGTCCTGTACCGATACACTTTTACCAAGTATCTGTGAGACAGCAGTCTCGCAGTCTGTTCTGTTTGAAAGCTGATAATCTTGTTAGGAAGAAGTTCTAAGACAGTGATGATTTAATAATGCTGTCAACCTACTCACAGGTTTACACATGCTTAAAATTAAACAGTAGCAAAATAAAAAAGGGTTGGATATCTTATCCTGTACTAAGTTCAGGGTTAGGAGGACAAGCTTTCTCCTGGCTCTCAACATATCGCTGGATGGAGGTGGTGCGTGCTAGAGCCGGTAGCGCAGCAGCACTGCCCTGTTGCCAGGAGCAGGAGGATGGTTACCAGCCTACTAAGAGGACATTTTGAAAACAGTAAGAGGATAGCCTGTTAGAGCAAAAGTAATTCCAAGTTAATAGCCTGGTATTCTGTTCTCCCAGGTTGTTTTAAAACCAATATTGAGAAAATAATCTACTGAGTTTGGGAGTCTTGTGGATGATTGTAAGAGAAAATGGGGGGCGGCGGCAAACAGTTGTAGCTTTATGTGATGATCAGTAATCTGTTTCTTTTCATTTGTACATCTAAACAAGGCTCTAGTACTGCAAGACTAAAAAGAATGGTCACTTCTGTTGGCTGATAGATATGAAAGCGTTGTTAAAATGAGTGGTTTCTAATGGCAAACATAATGGAATTTATACAGAAGTGAGAGGAACGGTTAAAGCTACTTTGGGTCTGTATACTTATTTCGTAGCTGGATTTTTCTTATTATATTGGTATCCTGAGGGAGATGTGATTTCAAGGTTTTCTTTTAGATTTGGTTGTTTTTACTATTTGACTAGTCTGTTCTCAAAAGAGCTTTCTTTAAAAATTGAGAAGTGGTTACCTGTCTGTCAGTACTTGGGGAGAGCTGGAAGAAACTTGGCCCAGCAGCGGGAAATTGCAAAGCTTCCACGTCCACTGGGATGTTGCAGTAATGCTTCAGAAACTGAAATTACCAGAAGAGGCATTCATCAATTTAGTCATTTGTCTTGTGTCAGTGCTGATGTAGCTATGCTCTATTTATAATCTTAAATCATCTGTTTAAGACCATAGATCAGAGATGTAGAAACTAAGGGCCAAGTATCTATGATACTGTGAACAGGGGAAGTGATTACTTCTCCTCTGAATTATTTAAATACACTTCTTCTGATGTCTTTAGGTTTTACAACTTAGAAAATAAATTCTATTTTGAATGCAAACTTGTGTTGAAGGCTGATCGAAAAATCTAGCTATATAGTTTAAAAAAAAGGGGGGGGGGGAATATGTGAATCTTGAACTTTTTCTGATATGTTCCAGAGGAGTAAATGAATGGAAGTACAGTTTTAGCAGGTGATTGAAGGCACAAAATGCCACATATGGATCTTAGACTCCACCAGCAGAAGGTGGATTTGCTTTGGGTAAAATTAGTATGCTATGACAGAGGCTGTAAAGCCTGGGCCTCATCATTTGTCAGGCTGATTGAGCATCAGTTAGTGGGATCTAGAGGGACCAAAACACTGAGTCAAGATATCCCTGAATTTTAAAATTTGGAGTCCAAACCTCATGTTGGCTTCTGTAACTAGTTGGACAAAAAGTCTGTGTTTGAACGTGCTAAGAAATGGCTGAAGCCTAATCTTATGTATTGAACATACATCTTTGACATCTGAGATTTTCTTGTTGCAACACAGCAATGATGTGTGGTAACTTAATTACAAGCCTGCAGTTAAATGCTGTCATCTGTTTTGTCTACTCCATTCCTGCACCTATGACACACAGAGTGCCAGTGTACTTACTACTTGACAAACCTTTGGCACTTCTTATTTGCTATCAAGGTGACTGGACTTTTGCATTTCTACTGCACCTTCGAAAAGAAACTCAAAGCAGTTGAGCTCCTAACCAGTCTTGTGCGATAGGTGAGTATTAACCTTAACTGCAGATGAGCAAACTGAGATTATAGGGAGAACTTTTTTCTTTATTGTTTAGATTTTTTTCTGGAACCTAGGAAAAGTTGGAGTAGGACAGATTTATGGAGCCTTGTGGGCAGATTCTGTTTGGAATAGCCAGGAGCAAGCTCTGTTCAAAATGCTTTGTTGAGCAGAACTGAATCCAGACAGATTTTTTTCATACTTTTACTGGTTTATTCTCTGAAGAAGGAGGTACTATTGGTAAGAACAGGTAGTTTTGTATGGAAAAAAGGAGTGGTGGGAAGGGAATCTGGGACACTTTCATACTAATTTCCTCCTTTTGCTTCTACTGAAAAAAATAAGGTTTTCACAAAGCAGGAAGCAGTGATTTCGTCAGTGTGATCAGTTTCCCTACCCAATGTGAGACTATCGTGCAGAACACACTTACAACGTACTACCCTGGTTCTGTGAATTGTGTGGAGCAACTTGAGTGAATATCGTATGTTTTTCTTGTCAGAAAATACAGCTTTTGCGTGTTCTAACTGCTTTTATCATGGTCCATCGGTGTTTTCAGTAACATCGTCCATCTGTCTTTAGAATTGTTCTGGTCATTTTTCCAAGTGGTTTGAAGGTGCCACCAAGTAGTAATTGTGCACTATGAGGTGTTAGCAGGGTATGTCCCGTGATGGCAATCTGCCTCATGACTGAATTGTGTTGCACTTGTGTTTCCAAAAAGCTCAAGTACTTCATAGGAGTTACCATCAGTTGCTATCTTTAAACAGAAGACCTAACTTATCTTGGCCTGCAGTTGCTGACACACAGAAATCTGGCAACAGAAATCAGAACAGGCTGACCTTGTGTTTTTTTTAAAAAAGGATTAGTAACTGACTCCTTTCTGAACAAAGCCTGACTTTTTTTGCTTAACCACACTGTTTGATCTTATGTGAGAGTGACCTCACAGGATTCACTTTAAGCCTCAGGGATGCAGAAGAATCAAAATCAATCTTCTGAAACATTTGTCAAGATGCCAAGCAAAAGATGGGGGGAGAAGGTGTGTGTGTGTACACATACACACGTTCTCTATTAATAGTCAGTTTGGATGCTTACAAGCTAAATGAGGATTTTCAATTTAATGGCTACTTCTTCCATGTGTGCCTGCTATGAGAGCTAGGAAATATTGATTAATTTTTTTATGATTTCCTAGAAGAATGCTGTGTCTAAAGAAATTTGATTAGGTGGTTTTATCATGGAGGACTTACTGTGCTAAACCTTGCTTAATGTTTCCTGGCACAAACATCAAAAATGCTGAGAAGTGTACTGTGTGTTGCTTAAAGATTTTTCTAAGCTTTACTTCAGATGCAATACCTTGTCTTGTTTTGCAACTCGTCTTTGTTTTTAAGGAAACAATGCAACCATAATGATCTAGGGTGCAGAATATCTTTTTGTGTTGTAAAACTTTATTTTTTCATGCTTTGAACAAATGACAGCAATTAAATTAGTATTGCACTTTTCAGAATATTGTTTAAAACTTGGGTGAAACTTAGATTCTTTCAAATTTGTAAGTGGCATATTGCAATACGTATAATTACCAGGCTTGAAGAAAGCTTATGTCCATATTCATCACATTATTCCTCCTCATGTTTAAGCACTGTGTTTGTAATTCCATTAACAAAGAAACAGCTTGACTGGTGCAGAGTAACGTGCAAGTCTGAAGCTTCATTTCCATAGGAATTTTAACCCTCAATGTTTAGTTTTTGCCTCTGTTCCACATGGCAAGGCAAAAACAAAGTCTTAAATTGGCATTTTATCTTAATCTTGCAAGAAAACTTTGATTCTTCATTGCAACAGTTCATCACTGTCATTCTTGATGTATATATTTAAACTATGGGACTATTTCCCCTCTTTATTTCCTGGGATTCAGAATTGACAGCTGTACATCAAATTTCATTCAAAGTTATCATGAGTTTCAAATATACCTATTAGCACATGCTTTTCCCTAAAAAGCCCCTTTCTAAACACTTGGTGTTTTGACTTTGTGTTTTTCCTTGTGTCGTAGGTCTTTAAATACTCTGCACCAGTTTTGCTGTCCAGCTCCATTGTACCATACCCAGCTAGCTGTCCCTGCCACACACTCAGAGTACAGGTAAGAGTAGATACGGTCCACCCACTTTTTATTTTTGGAGAGAGATCTAATGTTAACATTTGACATAAGAAAAGGAATAGTAGTTTAAGTTTTAAAAGAAAAAAAAAAGATTATTAGAAAAACATATCAAACATTCTTAACATCTCATAGGATAGTTCTATTCACTTCTCTCAGGCACTCTTGAATTATACAGTAAAATGAGTTTCATGTGCTTTAAGAGGCACATCCCCCTAGACTCTTTGAAAGGTAGGAAGAAGCTAGTGGTAGGTTTAGTTCTCACATAACAAACATATTGAAATGTTTATATAATTTATGCAGGATATTGATGTTCTGAGCAACACTTCTTTTAACCTCTGAATATTTCATGACAGTATGTGAGGTAAGCCATGTATTGTGGCACTCTCAAGGTTAAAGGCATGGACCTGCAAAAGGCTCAGCACTGCCTTTTGATTTGAATGGAAGTAAGGGGGGTTTAAACAGATGCAGGCCCTTGATGCTAAGCAGAGTCTGCCCTGAATATATGAAAAATATATGTTTTCCAGCTAATAATGCTTCGTTTAACATAGATGTCTTTACTGTGTGTTTTCCAAGCTCTCTTTGATCAAATGTGGAGAGCAGTAATTATACATCTTAATACAATTCATTGTCAGTGCCAGTGTTTATTTTAAGTCATCTTATAGAAGCATCAAAGGACAGCTAATCTAAGTAATTAGAAATGTGAAAACTGTTAAGAAATTGTGCATGTCATGAAAAAATAGTCATTCATTTTTTTACTATTAGTGATTAACTTAGTGATAATTGCCAGCTCATGAATAATATTAATATCAAAATATTGGAAGTCTGGTGCTGAAAAATCAAATCACTTTGTACTGGTAATAAGGAAAGACAAAAACAAACAATGAATCCTAAATCTGTAAATGCATAGACATATTTCTGATTTGAATCTGTCATCTCTTAGTTATCTCTAACCATGCATGTTTGGATTCATCCTGTTGTTTTACACTGCAGCATCTGTTTGTATGTTTGTTTTTTTTCTCCCATTAGAGCTCTTAGTTTTATTTGGTGGTAGTGAATGCATAGTTGAGTTGTCTTTCAAGTTAGTATTCTGTCAGTGAGGAGCAGTGCCTGAACACTATTAGATTCCCCACTTGCTTTTTAATGAGGCTTTTGGTTTTCCTTTGTCCTTAGTTTATAATGCTTTAATTTTAAGGACTTGTTAGAGATCTTCTTATAGGGATGTTGATTGGAAAACCAGTTGTTTCTTGAATGTTTCGCTATCTTTCTCCATGTAGGTTATTATTTTTATCAGTAGCATTTCTTCTGGAATTAAAACTTAAAACAGCATAACTTTGTCCTTAAAAAATCCTAAACTTCTCTAGCTTCTTTGTCTTTCTGTCTTTGTGCAGTAAAAAGGAAAAAAAAAAAAGCCCTAAGTGTGGCCGAATCTGTAAAGCATCTACAATTTTTAGAGTGCTAACATGTAAAACAAGATATAGATTTGGATAATGCCCAAACATATGCCCTAAGACCTTCAGCTTTTCTGTAAGGACTGGGGTGTATGAAGGAACTCATCATTGACCTTGTTTGCTCTCAAGGAAGTTTAGGTCTCAAACTCTCCAACCGTGTGTACATATATAGCTGTAACTTCGTTAGCATGGGTGGAGATACGGGAACTTCCAACAATTCATAATATAGTATTGTTGCCCATATTCACCTAACAGTAATGGAGCAAGAAACGGGTCGGTCACTGGCTGCCAGGAAACTTAACGTGCTCTACATGTCACTCACCCCCTTTCCTGGCTAACCAGTGTAGGTCTACTAGCAGAACGTGATCTGTGCTAACCTCCTTTTTTATTATGTGTGATTAGATAAAGGAGTTCAGGGATTAGATATGGCCTTGTTCTCTCTGACCTCTTTCCCCCAGCCCAACACACAAGTTACCTAGGTGCAAGATGAGCTTTTGCAAAAGATGTTACAGAGCCAGCAAAGCGTGCTTGTGGCAAAGGTGGCCAGCCATGTGCAGGGCTCTATGGGCACGAGTGGGCAGCAGGCTGAGGGAGGCATTTCCTCCCTTCTGTCACCACTTGTGAAACCTTCTCTGGAGTGTCTGGCTTTTTGAAAGGCATCAGGATACTGGAGCAGGTCCAGCAAAGGGCCACCGAGGTGTCTGGGAGCCAGAGCACATGAAAAGTGAGGAGAGGCTGCAAGAACGGGGGCTGTTCAGCCTGGAGAAGTCTCAGGGCTGGTGCTATCTTCAACTCCTTAATAGGAGAGTATGGAAAAGGTGCAGCTAGCCTCTTCTAGGAGAGGATGGCACAAGAGGCAACAAAACCAGATTGCAGTAAGGAAAATTCCTATTAGATAGGTATAGGGTAGGAGAGAGAGTGGAATTTCACCCTGAGCGTGGTTAAACACTACAACAGAGGCCAGGAGAGGAGGTGGTATCTCTATCTTCAGTAGTACTCAGTTCAACTGGGCACAGCCCTGAGCAGCTTGATGTAGTTAGCCCTGCTTTGAGCAGTGGACTGGACTGCACAAACCTCCAGAAGTCCCTTCTAACAAATTATCCTGTGATCCTGAAGGACTCTGTTCTTGGGAAGGAAAAAAGAGCTGCAAGTCTGTTCTGTAGAATTTAGTTTCAAATTATACAGTGATGCTAATGCTGTCCCAGGTAGTATCCTACACACAAATGTGGTGGTGTGTTAGACCCAGACTGTTATAGTCTTCCTCATGTCGGGAATTTTTTTGGTTTACCCGTGAGTTAAATTTCACTACATCTGTAATCTCTTAGTTGAGTACAAATTATGCATCTGTTTTTGTAAACAACCCATATATGGGAATCCTACTGCTGTGAATGAAAATCAGCTACTAGAACACTAACAAGATTGGGCTTTAAATTTCCACATATATTTAATAGCATTAAATTTAGCTTTTAGTCTTCCCATTTATCAATTTATATATAGAAAGCATTAGAAACAAAACTAACAGAAATGGATGCTTCAGTCTAACTTCCGATTTGAGGCTTTATTTAGAAAATACGCAGAGGGATTAATTTTGTAGCCCAGAATTAAAAATTAAATTTGTTCTGAAAGAAGCAATTAATGAATGCACTACAGTGAAATCTGGAGCATCTCTGATTTGCTGCTAGCTAATTGCTGGATATTTTATTCACTCCAGCAGTTTTATTTCTAGTCAAGATGATCTTTGGCATCTGTTTTGAATTGTTAATAGGGAAATAATGCATTTTTAATAACTGCAGCTATTGCAGTAATCCCTTGCTTGCTCATTTTACAATGTTCAAAATAGACAGAAATAATACAAGTTATCTTGCATTCTCCTATTGTAAGAAAAGTCTTAGGAAGCCTAAGCATATTATGTACTTCCAGCTAGTTGTTTGTCTGTTTGTCTTCCAGTTAGCCCACATGCCTCCTGTGTTTGCTCTTTTTTATTATTTTTGTTTTGAAATTAAAAAAAAACAAAACCACACACAAAAAAACCCAAACAGTAATGTCTGTAGCTTGGGCACTTTGACTCCCTCTCCCTTTCTGCCTCCCAAAGTAGAGCCGTAAAACCAGCATACGCTAGTTGAAAGCTGCAAATTCCATGAGGTGTTCTGTATCTGTTAGTGATCATCTGAATACAGGTTTTATTTTTGGCGTGAAGGGCAAAGTAAAGGAGACAGTGGTACACCTGGAGAGCCTTCCAAAAGGGCCTGGATCCATGTAGTCTTGTACTTCAGTTGCTGAGCCTCTTGCTTGATACGGCTTGCGTTATCTCAGTGGCCTTGCAGCTAGAATATGTGCAAAGCAAAGCCCAGAGATACAATGGCATTCAGAGAAAGTAAATTTAATCATCTCTGCTTCTTGTTTGAAGAACAGTCTGTTCCCAGCATTTTCTAAACACATCTTCTAAACACATCTTTCTAAACAATCTTCAGTTAGTACTTCAGCCTATCTGTATAGGTGCTAGATACCTTATACTAATAACATACACATACTTTCGTGCACCTGATAGCTGTTGACTTGGAGTGTATCACTTGAACCTTCAAGTTACTCAGTTGTTTACACCACTCCTGAACACTCAGGGTTCGTTTACAGTCTGAGGATAGTTCATCTGCCCTCTAGCCCTAGTGCTGCTGTAGCCGTTAGCTATTCAGGCTTTTGTGCGATGAGTGTTACAGCAGAAATGGCTGTAGGAATGGCTCCACACAGGAAGATATAATGTAGAAGAGTGCCCATGCTTGGAAATATAAAGTCTTATTCATATCTGTATTCTTTGTATGGATATTTAATAGGCTGACATATGCACCTACAACTGTGGACAGATTTGCTTACTACTAATGTCTAAGCGTCTTTTCATCTGATGTGTTTATTCATAACTATGATTTGCTTGTTCTGATTTGCATGAAATGTTGGCTGTCACTCACTCCTTTCTCCATCCACTTTACCTTCCATCCTTCTAATATTAAATTAGATGCCCTTATCATGTCCAAAGACCATTTTCAAAATCGTGAAGCTAGAGATTTTTTTCTTTTTTTTTTTTCCCCAGTGATACCTGTGAAAACAAAAAGATAATGCAAAGGATGTTATAGTACCAAAGAAATCCCATCATTTTCTTGCAGTCTCTACCTGCTTAATGTTTAATCAGCACCTCTGGGAGGTAAAAACATTATTCTGAAAATACTGTACTTATGTGAAATTTTAATGTGGAATCTTTGTTTCACCAGGTGATGTTGGCTTACATGCACAAACCACAGTATGGAAGACGATAGAAGGATTGATTGTGCTATTTCTTTTTGTCTGAGCCACTGGTAGGCATTGTAGCTATTTTGTTACCATAACTGGTTAACACAGAAGCTTATCATACAATGATGTGTAGCTGACAGATGCTTCTATATTGTGCTAGAGTGGTTTGGTTTTTCGTAGGTTTTTTCAAGAGTATGGTGAGAATTCTTGCACACTAGGCACACTAAGGGAAGATCAGGAACTTTTTGCTTAGATTCCTGAAAGTGAAGAATACCCGTTTACAGATAAATTTGGTTCTTTGCAACTCTCTGTTTACTTTTTCAACTGATGAGCACTATACTGTTTCCCAGGCTTAGACACATAGCAAATACTTCACATGTTCTTCATACAAACATCTATAAAGACATTCCACTCTACACAGCAGACTCCTCAGCCCTGTGGTAGTTCCCCAGTCAATGATGAGTCACAGGTGAAACTGTAGCTGCAGGAGCCGTACTTCAGAATCCTTTGTACTATTGATACGACTATTTATTGAAGTTTTCTACCAAAAAAAAAGTTAAATAGGAATCTTATTTCTAACTGAATAGCGATTGCCTAGCTGTACAATTTAGCACATTTAAGCACCGTAGCCTCTCTTTATAATACACGTAGATTTAAAAGCTTGACAATATTTTTTCAAAATGAGCAAAGGAGTGAAAGCAACATAGCTCAGACCAGCCAGCATACTGCAACAAAGACGGAATATGCAGATGAAGAAAGCAAAACAGATCCAAACTCTGACCAAATCATATACTCTGTGCTAAGTCAGTGTGAGGTTCAGATGATTATATAAGGCATCTGTGTTCAAACCCTATGGCAAAGGAAAGCTGGCATAATTATAGTAATACTTGTAATTTTCCACTTGATGCCTACGTGATCTAGCAATGCAAAAATGGTGAATTGTCTTCATACACAGCAAACTCTTTGAAAACAATCAGGAGTTGGCAGAATATCATGAAATTTACTATTTGTTTTTGGATTTTCTTGTTTTTTCTTCCTTCATTGTGTTCCTTTCCATCCTCCTCCTTTAGCGTGTTGTTTAGTTTAAAGGAAGTGACCACTCGTGGTTGTGTTACTGATAAAGAAGTGACCTCGTACAAGCTTCCTGCTAAGCCGGCATCCCTTCCTCCACCCGCCATAAAGCACATTATAGCATTACAGATGTAGGTATTCCAAACTACTTCTTTAATAGCCTTTGTGCCTTCTGGTTTGTAGCACCATTCATGACGCTGGCAACTCTGCATGGAAACAGAGTTGTTCCTCCTACTTTAAAAAGCGGTGGGGGGAGTAGTAAAGTGCAGATCTGTTACTCATCAATATTTCTGTATGTAAATCACCAGCAGAAGGGGAATGCATCTGTTCTGCATTTTCAGTGGAATGTGGGCAGTGACAATACCTGTGGAAAGTTTCTTTTAAACATGTTAAAAATAAAGGAGCCGTGGCCATAGTAGGCTGTGTATGTGTATGACTACTTAATGTAAGATTTCCTTTGGGAAAAAACAGAAATTGCCCTTTCAAAACAGCTTTTGCCTCTGAGTTTAACTCTTAAGTGTTGGCCTAGGCTCATTTGGTGGTTCTTCATTGTGTTGAAAGCCCTGTATCTGAGATTGAAATGGATTAATCGGATCATACTTACAAACAAGTTACACAATTTTGTGGATTTAAAAACAAAACAAAACAAATCTAAAGCTTAATTTTCCTAATGCTGTTCCCTGTGATTCTGTTCCTCTGTCTTTTTTCTTTCTCGCCCCCCTCTTCCTTGGCAGGGAAGATAATGTTCTGCACCAGTTCTGCTGTCCACCTTCGGGGTCTAGTAGTCCATCTTCAAGATAACACAGAAGCTCGGGGTCGCTAAGTGTGCAGTCAGTGCTACACCTGTATAGTCCATCTCTCCTCTCTTACTGGTGTGTATGGGACTGACACTTGCATGGATGCCATAGGATTCTGATTCATGTCAAGTTTGAGTTATTCAGAATGGCACAGCCATAAATTTTGGCCATCGATGGTTGGTAATCTCCTCTCCATGCTTTTCTACAGCTCTCTTCCTTGTGTCTAGTATTTAAAACACACGCAAACTGTAAACAAATATATAAAATGCACAGTTTATTTTGAACTAAAATAAACAGTACCATAAGTCTTTAAGTGTACTGTGAGTTTTGTTACTGTATGTACGTGGTCATGTGGTATGAAGGGTGCAAACTAATGTGATTTCTTCTCCCCCAAATGTTAAGGCTATCAGGCAGGAGGGGAAGCTATTTCTTAGAATCTGTATTAGGCTGGTTTTACTGCTAACAGTCCCAGAAGTTTGTTTCAAGGTTAGGCAAACATCAACATGACATTTTATGAACGTTACTATATAGAGATTAACTGTTCTCTCTTTGCTTTTTGATTATTCTGAGGACCCAGCACATTTATGTTGTACAGCAGATACTCTGAGTGATTACATTTCTAAGCTTCTTTGAGGTCTGTCTGCTAATTTTGTTTGCCTGTGTTTGTGAAAGTCTTGTATTAAGCATTAGCAAAAGTACAAGATCATTACTTATGTATTTCTGTTACCTAACTGATGACAATATTTTTCTCTAAGCTGTGCACAAGACTGTCGTCAAAGGAATGAACTTGTAATTGAATGGCCCTGTAACTGCAACCAGATAAATGTGAACGTGTCCATGGGTGTCTAAGAATAGAGTCAAGTTACCACTGCCCAAAAGGCACTTTGTTGATTACATCTTTCCAGACACGTCTTGTGGCTCTAAAATAACTGGAGGATTTCTACTGGTTGGATCTTCCAGACTTAAACAGCCCAAGCAGATGTACCAGGAAAGATAATTTCTATGAAGTGGCATTTACTAGCCCAAAGCTAGCAAGAAGGAAAAAACTGATGGGGTGGTGGGGAGAACAGGCTCTTAAGTCTGTTGTTGCTGTAATGGGTTAAAATGTTACTCCAAAGTGTCTGGAGCTCACATGAAGGCAGAGGTGGTTGGGTGTAGGGTGAAAAGCTGATATTTATTTTTAGTTATTTGTGGCTTTGAGGATGGGATAAAAGCAGAATCATCAGGATCAAGAAGGGAAGAACTGTGAAGGTAGCTTGAGGCTCATTCTCATCCTGTATAATGTGCTTTTTTATGATCCTGAAGGAATTAATATAAAAAAACAGAATACAGGTTATTTCCTTTTCAGTTAAACTTGATCAACTGTTTCTATCCTTCCTGTTAAAAGTTTTCTTGTGCTTGCCTTAGGTATGATTGTGAAGTGTCGGAGGCATAAGGAAGAATTTGCTTGCAGAAGGCTATCTGCCTTCATGGTCTTGCAAGTTTGTCTATGTCCTTTGTTCTGACTGCAGACTGTAAACAATATATGGCTTCTTCTATTATTTGGTTTTGAATGTTCCCTAGTTTCATGTGTTGCTCAGTCATTTGGCATTACAATATATATGAAGTACTTTCGTTCCCACTGTAAAATTTGAAAATTATGTATGCAAAAATTGTGTAGTAGACTACTGCAGTTTTTTATATCCCTGGAAGTGCTCTGATGTTTACTGGGTAGGATAAAACATTGAACTGTTTGACTGTTGCTCCCAATTTTGGTCTTTTACTGCTATAATTAAGAGTTTCTCAAGAGTTGCTTCCCAAAGATAGAAACAGTAGGAATTTCTGATATTTTGACTTGCTTATCTCCCTCCCAAATGTAAACAGTAATTAACTCTCTCAGTGTACTGAACTGAAGCACTGTAATTATTCTCTTCCATAGGGTAGGAATTGTCCAATCTTTTCAATAAGTATCTTTTATATGTTTGTGTAAAGGAAAACAAAGAAGAAAGACTACTACTTAAACATGAAAATTAAAACCACCAACTCTAGGTGCCAGCCCTTTTGCCTTGAAGAGACAGCAGTTGATTACCCTGAATGTGGTTGCAGTTAATGATGTGTCTCGGGAGAAAATAAAGTCAAAGACTGATCAGTGTTATTAGCTGTAACTGGACGCTATCATTGGTTGTTTTCTATCTGGTAGTTTTCCAATTATGGGAAAATAGCATCATTATAAGTTGCTGGCATTTGAAACAATTTGAGTTGGTATCCGTAGTATCATCAAATCATGGCATTTACTCTTTGTGGAGCAAATAGAGAAGCTGACCTTCTCTGATGCAGTGAAAGTCAGAAATGCAGAAGTAAACATTTTCCTATTTAAATAAATCATGGCTGGCTAAATAAAACATGCAGTGAATCTCAGGATTTTGCACTAGAGCCTAGTAGGGGTTCTCTTTTAGTTAACCAGTGTTTAGAAGTAGATGACCTAAATGCTGTGCATTATTATAAAACAGAGAAAGAAAGGTAGCAGTGGAAAAATTTGCTTTTTCGCCTGATCCTTAGATGCATTTGCACTGTTTCTGTGAAGAGTGAAGACTGTCTTATTGTGCATTCTGGTATGGAAGGTGGAGTAGAAATGGCATTTTTCATAGATCAAATTTCTTCATTCAGGAGCTCTAAGGATTGAAGAAAAGCTGCTGGTTTGGGAGAATTCAGTTAGAGAATTTCTTCTTTGGCACCTTTAAGCACTTGCACCTAGTAGGATCAGGCTATTTTGTTTTTCTTCTGCAATGTGGAGTTCTCCTTTGCAAACATATTCAGCTCTTACGTTCTTTTGGGTGGTTTTGCCTAAAATAGGTGGGTGAGACTTCAGTTTTGCAGAGCAACTACTGACTTGCTGTTATTTGCTGTACTTGTGTTACTTTCTCTTTGTAATGGATGGTGGGAAGTCATTAAAACGGCTGAGAGCAGTGTGTGTGGACCCTTCGTGCTTGAATGGTATGGATTTTTATGTACCACTAGATGGAGCAAAAAAACCAGTTCAACTGTGATAAATTAGAGACTTATCTCCCAAAGTAGACTTTAAAATAACTCTAGCTGAAGCAAAATATTGTATAACATAAAGAGAAGAAATAATCCCCTGAAAAATGTAGTAGGGTGCAGATCGTAAGCATGACTGAAATTAAGCTTTTAAAACTCTCCCTTAGCCATTCTACCAGCTATGTAATTGAATGTGGATTGCCACAATTTCAAGCAACTCAAGATTCCTAATGAATTTGAATTATGTATATAGTTTATGGCCAAGGAAGCTCCTTACTTGAGCAGGTGCCTGGGGATGGCAGAATGTAACCTGCTGATCAGAATGGAGCAGCATTGAAGCAGCATTTAAGGTGAGTCGTAGAGGTCGTTGTCAAGAGGTAGGGACTTGGCTGCTGTCCCCTCTGAAACCACCTGACTCCCAGTCTTGAAAGGGGGACATTCATGTTATGCAATACTGATTTGCCAAACTGACCATTTTGAAGTGCAGCGCTAAGTCCTTTTTCACCTCAAATACTGAAACGGAGCACGAAGTTCTCAGAAAATGTAAACCCCAAAATATCTACAGAAGCATCTGTGAAAGTACTTTACTATCTTTACGTTGTTGCCAGGATTGTGAGTGGTGGTAGCATTTTTCGAGTTTTTTACAGCAATTGAATAGTTCCTGAAGTGGTGGCTAGAGGGAGCTCCAATGCAGTCTGTTTCAAAGCTTTCTCAGTAAGTGAATCATTACAAAAACAGCCTATTTTATTACCTGAAGCTGTAGATGAAAACAAAGGAGGAAGCCATCTATATTTACTTTTGCATGCTATTAACACTGGAGATTGATAAGTATTTGATCATGGGGAATGACAAAATGGATATATATGCCAGCATGCTTTACAGTCAATGTTTTTTATCTATTTTATAATTATTATCATAAGTACATTGTTTGTTTGTGTAGTTTGGTCTGCCTCTACCTTCCTCAAGTTGTAATACAGGATATGTTCCAGGGAAGGTGGGTGCATGTGTTTAGCAATGTATGAATAGTCATATGGGGTATTTAGATATCCTACTGTCAGATGTCTGATGGTTATGTAGAAAGCAGTATAAGAACAAGACAAACATACAGTGATACTTCTCCTAGGCTCCTGTAGGCTTTGGCAAGAAACTAATCCATAGGTGATGTCTAGTAGATTTTCAAATAAATTGACAATTACTATTTAAAAAAAAAAAAGCATGAAACAATTTCAAAACTGCTAGATAGATGTTCCTGCTATCAAAGCAGCAGAAATTCTCGTGTTACTGTTCTACCTCTACTACATTAATTATAATAATTCAGCTAAGGGTATCACACCTGTATTTACAGGGCATTTGGTGTTATGAACCTTTTCTCTCGTGCAGGTATGTTTCACAATTTCTTTTAACTTCACAAAATGTGCACAGCAGTTGCTCAGTACTGGGTGGGGAATCTGTAAGCAAGCACAGCTGCGCAGAAAGTTTGAATCATCTGCAGCAGTAATAGCTTAATGTGACTCAGCTGAACAGAAGCTTGATTTTTATTCCTTCCTTCCCCTCCTCTACTGCCTGGTGAAGGACACTTTGCCTTCCTTTCTGAAGGGAGGCCCTGGTACCTGACAGGATTACCTGAATGTGCCAGGTAGTGAACTCAGTGCTTGTCGGGACCGGTTCCTAGCTGTGATCAGGGGATCACTTGTTCTGATGAGCTGACAAAAATGGATAGATAAAGAGGAGACAGAACTTAATTGAGTCAGTCCACAAGGAGAAACAACATCTAATGAGTTCAGTGAGAGTTTTTCCTGGCTGTGTCTGGATCAAATTCAGCCTCCTTCTCTCAGCTACTGGTTGGCTTTTATGACTCAGTCCTGCTGCCATTCAGTTCCCACCCTGTGACACAGAGAAGTTCATTTACTGACCCTTAAAAGAGACTTTGGAGACCTTCTTGGGGATGGGAGGGACTCGCTCAGAGTGCGTTATTTTTGTTTTTCACAACAGCATGCTACAGGATCAGAAGGAAAGAGTAGCTATACAGCTAATGTTTTTCGGTTTGCATAGTAAGGGTATAGTAAACATTTGGGTCCTCATTAAAGACAGCTTCTATTAAATAAAGATGCTAATAAGGGTGGGAGTTTTCAAAGATCCTGATTAGTATGGCTTCCTTTGTGCTCAGTTAACATCTTTATCTGCAATTAATGTTTTACCTTGGTCGTTTCTGTAGAATATGGGTGTTGCTGTTTTCCCTTTAGAGTTGGGGATGAGATTTTAGAACATTTGAAAATAATTATCTGTATTT